ATATTGTTTATCAATTTTAATTCAATTTATTTTATTTTTTTAAAGATTTTATTTACTTATTTGACAGAGATCACAACAAGTAGGCAGAGAGGCAGTCAGAGAGAGAGAGAGGGAGGAGGAAGCAGGCTCCCTGCTGAGCAGAGAGCCCAACATTGGGCTTGGTCCCAGGACCCTGGGATCATGACCTGAGCAGAAGGCAGAGGCTTTAACCCACTGGGCCTCCCAGGTGCCCCATTATAACTCAATTTAAAAAGAAGTAACTAGCAAGGTGAATTTTTAAATTCCAATTTAAAAATTAATTCAGATTATCTTCTATACAGCTCTAACATGTAAGCAATCACTTACTCAGAAAATATTTGTCATCTTATTCTCACTGTGTGCTTGACATTGTGCACGCTTTTTAGGATGGAAAAGGCATGGTCTTTGAGTGACCCCAATATCAAATAACTCTTAGGCTTTGTGGAAGATAGACATATAAGCCAACTTCTATAATACTTCATGATCAGTGCTGTGATAGAGCTATGTACAGGCTGCTATGAAAGCATGGATTCCTGCCACTGGATTCATCCCCTTATTTAGGGCATGATAAAGAAATGAAAGGTTTATCTTTATTTCCCTTTGCTGTGTGTATCACATATTTCTCCCTTTAGCCTCAGCTCTGTCTCCTATCAAGGTCTGTGACCTTGCTGTCTCAGCCATTCTATGCTCTGACCACAGAGTAAGATTTAGCTTCCATTTTCTAGGTGTGGGGACAGGAGTTTTCCCAGGTCCAGAGCTGGAAGTTCTATTAGGATGGTAAAAATGTGAGTTAATAGAAGTGCAAATGTATTTTTCAAGGAGCCTTTTCTAAGGAGAGAGCCACAGGTTATCTCAAGAGGAAAAAAATGGAATATGTAATTAAGGCAAAAATAAACTATTGGCCCTATGAACTAACACCTGTGTTATGAGGATAAGCAAGTTTGCATCTTCTATAGAGCCTAAGGGGTGATTCCTTAGCATTTTAAAAAAAGATTTTATTCATTTATTTGATAGAGCATAGAGCTGAGGAAGCAGGAGACTGAGAGGGAAAAGCAGGCTCCCTGCTGAGAGAGGAGCCCAGAAGTGGACTCAATCCCAGGACCCTGAGATCACGAATGGAGTGTAAGACAGATGCTTAACTGACTGAACCACCCAGGCACTCCAACGTTTGGTTTTTCTTTAAGATTTGATTTAGGGGCACCTTGGTGACTTAGTTAAGCATCTGCCTTCAGGTCAGGTCATGATCTTGGGGTTCTGGGATAGAGCCCCACATCAGGATCCCAGCTTGGTGGGGAGCTTTCTTCTCCTCCCTCTCCCCCTGCTTATGCACTCTCTTTGTCAAATAAATAAATAAGATCTTTTAAAAAGAGAGAGAGATTTGGGGTGCCTGGGTGGCCCAGTGGATTAAAGCCTCTGCCTTCAGCTCAGGTCATGATCCCAGGGTCCTGGGATTGAGCCCCGCATCGAGCTCTCTGATCAGTGGGGAGCCTGCTCCCCTCCTCCCCCCACCCCCCGCCTGCCTCTCTGCCTATTTGTGATCTCTCTCTCTCTGTCAAATAAATAAATAATTTTTTAAAAAGAGAGAGATTTAATTTGGATTTTTTTCAATTTATACCTGGAATATGAAAATAATTGCACCCAAAATGAAGGCTCCTTAGAGTATGGTCATCCAAAGTTCTTTATAAAGTAAGGTAGATTTATGGTGTAGAGACTACAATATTTTATGTGGGTTGTTAAAAGGCTGTAGTGATTTTTATGGCTTCATTCTGTATTATCATCCCAATACCCCTATTCCCCATTTTTTAAAAAGGACTTTATTTTTTAGAGCAGTTTTAAGATCACAACAGAATTGAGAAGCAGATGCAGAGATTTCCACATACCCCCTGACCCTGTGCAAGTACAGCCTCCCTCATTATCAACATCACTTACCAGAGTGGTACATTTGCTCTAACTGATGAACTTATATTGACAAACTATAAATACCCAAAGTCTGTGGTTTATATTGGGAGTCATGATGCTGTACATTCTATGGATGACATGTATCTACCATTATAGCATCATACAGAGTATTCTCAGGGCCCTAGAAATCCTCTGTGCTGCCCCTCTGCACCCCCCCACTCCCCACAACCCCTGATCTTTGAACTGTTCATGCTTCTGCTTTTTCCAAAATGTTTTAGAGCTCAAATAATATAATATGTAGTCTTTTCAGATTGACTTCTTTCACCTAGTGACAGGTATTTGGTGCCTCTTCCTGTCTCCATTAGCTCATATCTTATTAGTATTTAAATGATATTCCATTACTGGAGGTACCACAGTTTATGCATCCATTCACTTACTGGAACACATCTTGATTGCTTTTGTTTTAGCAATTCTGCATAAAGCTACTATAAATATCTCTGTGCAGTTTATCTGTGTAGACATAAGTTTTTAACTCCTTGGGTAAATATCAAGAAGCATGACTGTGAGTTCATATGATAAGATAATGTTTAGTTTTGTAAGAAAAAGTCAAACTGTCTTCCACAGCGGTTGTACCAGTTTGCATTCCCTTCATCAGTGAATGAGTTCCTGCTGCTCCAAATCCTCATCCGGAATTTGATGTTGATGTTGATGTTCCAGGTTTTGTCCGTTCTAATAGGTGTATAGTAGTATCTCCTGGTTTTAATTTGCATTTCCCTGATGACGGATGATATGGAGCTTCTTTTGATATGTCTGTGTGTGATCTGTTTGTCTCCTTTGCTGAGTTATCTCTTAAGGTTTGGGGCTCCTATTTTAATCAGGTTGTTTGCTTTCTTATGTTTAGTTTTCAGTGTTCTTTGTGTATTTTGGCTAACAATCCTTTATCAGATGTGCCTTTTGTAAATATTTTCTCCCAGTCTGTTACTTGGCTTCATTCCCCCATTTTTTAAGACCAAATAGTTTTGTAGAAAATGCGACACTGCTAGCAGTCTTAAATGCTATTTCTATAGAGAACATTTCTTTGTTGCTGTGAGAGAAGATGTAGAGGTCAAGTGTTGATTCCTATCTCAGTCTAGCTTGAAAGAAAATGCAAATTAACATGAGAAGTAGAGAGCAATGATAGTGTTTAATTCTGTGTCAAATGCCATAGTATATTAAAAGTTCACAGTTTAGAGAACGTTAAAGTAGAGTGAGATAGAAGAGGGGATCTTGGTGGAAATTGAATTTACTAGGATTGGCCTTGAAAGCTAGTTGTATCTTCAACATTGAGAGAGACAGGAAATGGCCCTCCAGCTGAGAAAATTTCAGTTTGTATAATAGAAGGAAAAAATGATTATGTTTTAGATTTAGATTCTGAATATTCTCAGGTCTGTAAAACTGGGTCTTCTTTACCTAGAGGGACTAGAGGTATAAATCCGACATCATTCTAAATGGTTCTGTTTAAAGCGGACGGTGGGTTGTATATTTCTCGTGGCATGCAGAAAGAATATATTATCCCAGCATATTTGCATTCAGTTAAGTGCACTGTAACATTTTTTAAATGTTGCACATTGGCATTAAAAATATATACATATACATAGTCTATTTTTCAAACCTTTGGAATATTCGCCTTCTATTTTATTAGGTAAATATACCTTGTTAATAATTTGAAATATTATAATATTACAATCCTATATTATAAAATGTGTTTTTTAAATTTTAACTTTATTTTTTATGTCAGGGACCTATTCTAGTTTTATTATTTTTCCTCTGATTATGAAGTCATAATATATTAGCATGATCCTTATACCATATCACACATATGTTATTCCACGCAGGCATTTTTGAATGCTGCTGATTTAAAATTTCCCGTTGTGAGGTTCTTCCAAAAGCATTTTACATTTCAGATTTGAAAGTGCTGTTGATGTCTAGAGATACTCTCCATTTCACTGAAGTAATCTATGTATCTACGTTTCTGTATGTGAAACTTGGGTTGTTAATCTGGCCTTACCATGATGGATTTCCATACCACCTCAGATGCAATTGCAAAGGACTAAAACTCAGATTTAAGCAAAGCAGAAGATGAAGAGGGATGGGGTGTAGAAGATGTACAGTATCACAGAGTTGATGGGTTAATTTCAGGCATAGTTGAATCTGGAATCTCAGATGATGTTAATAGGAGTCTATTCTGCTTAACCTTGCTGGATTCAACTTGATTTCAGCTACCCACAGCTGGGGTAGAGAAGTTTGCTGCCCTGGGCTGGTCACTCTCACCTGGGGGATCAGAGGCTATTTCTGAAAAGAAAAGGTGATATATAGACAAAGGAATAGGAGATACTACAGCAGGACCCATGGTTGGTCTTGAACACAATTATCGAAGTTTTTGAGATCTGTGTTGCTTGACATTCATCTTTTAAAGCATTAGGAAGCATTAAGCTTCACATGATTCAGAGGAAACCTGGTTCTTTTTCTCTAGACCAAAATTCGATTCCATCTTAAGACTCACGGACAATTTAAAAACTGATTTTCAAGACTTTGTCTTATAATTAGCACCCCTAGTATCAATATTTTGTGTAGTCCTTGTTGGGCAAATCAGTTAAACCTATCCCCCCTCAGTTTCCTTACCTGTTTAAGAAAAAACCGATATGGTTAGACTAACTAAGCTCTGAGTCATTTCTGTTTCGAAGAATATGTGATTCAATGATTCTCTCGCAAAGGTGCTTACAGGTTGGTTTTCTCTTTCTTTCTTTTTGAAAGTATGTATATTGGGTGGAAACTATCTTTGCTCTTGAAAACCTAAAGCCGATAGAACTTTCTGCAGCGACAGAAATGCTCCGTGCAGCTACCCAGCCCTTGTAATGTAACTGGCGTGACTGGGGAGAGGGATTTTCCATCCAATCTCCATTAATTTTGATTTCAATTAAAATAGCCACAACTCTGGGATTAACCTCTTTCAGCAAGATTTTTCAGAAACCATTGAAATTAAAAAAGGAATACATCTGCTCTGCGATAAGTTTAAAAGCAGCAATTCACCCCTTTCTTTTCAGTCTCCTGCGCATAGCTACTCAAGCTATGACTCCGGCAAAAATGAGAGTGTAGACCGAGGTGCCGAGGACCTGTCTCTAAACAGGGGAGATGAGGACGAAGATGACCACGACGACCACGACGATTCTGAGAAAGTGAACGAGACGGATGGCGTTGAGGCGGAGCGGCTGAAAGCCTTTAATGTGAGTCCGGCCACGCTTCCCCGCCGTGGCTTACTTTTTACCACTTCACTTTCATGTTGTTGCTTGGTGGTAAATGTGGATATTCTAGAGACATGTCTGTTTAATTTACAGAAGGATTTTAAAAGTACATGAAACACTCTTTGACAACCAGACACCAGAATTGCTGTGTTTTGTTTAGAATTTTAAAGCCAAATGTGAGCTGAAAACTGGATTTGTGTTGTGTGAGTATGCATGTTTACCTAGTGGATGAGGGGGCCTCAGCTTATTCCTCAGAAGAGTATGGCTGTCATCAGTAATTTCTCTCGCCTTCCTGGCTTAGCTAATTATGCATGACGAAAGAGTCGGTTGTTTTCAGAGATTAGCGTACTGTGCAGCCTAGCAATGTAGCAGTCGCATTTATCATTAATGGAGAATTTTATGGGGTGCCTAATTGTCACAGTCTACTGTTATTTCCTGCTTTTTTTTCCCTACATAATAGTCTATACTTTTCTGTCTGTCTGTCTGTCTGTCGGCCTCTCTCTTTTTTCTCTCTGGTTTTTTTTTTTTTTTTTTTTTTTAAATCCAGCCATTTAGAAAGCCTTTAAAGGGTGTTTGCTTAAAATTTCTGGCTTTCCATTGCAAAGTTCTCCAGTGCATAAAGCAGAAAAGAGTATTTTCCTATCGGTAATCAAGACAGGAAGCTAGGAACAGCAGAGAGCAGTCCTCCAAACCCTTCTCCTCTGTCTCCCTCTTGCCAACAGATGTTTGTCAGGCTGTTTGTAGATGAAAACTTGGACCGAATGGTCCCAATCTCTAAGCAGCCCAAAGAAAAGATCCAGGCTATCATTGACTCATGCAGGCGACAATTCCCTGAGTATCAAGAGCGTGCCAGAAAACGTATACGTACTTACCTCAAGTCCTGCAGGCGGATGAAAAGAAGTGGTTTTGAGATGGTGAGTTTTGAATTAAAACACAGCCCTAGATTCCATCCAAATCCCACATGTAAACCATGACACTATTTCTTTTTTCATCTTAGTGTCTTTTTTTTATTTTTTCCATAATGTCAGGTCCAAGGGGTTTTTGTTTGCTTGTTTGTTTTTTTCCCCTTCTCCTTTTCATCTTCCTGAAGTATTTATCCCCTTTGTTATTCAATAAGGAGTATCTGGTGAGACCAGCGCTCACAGGCACACATGATACCATGTCACAGGAAATGAAGGGGATCTGAGTTAAAAACCGATGAGAACCAGCGTCTCATTCACGTTTGTTTTCTGTCACTACTGAAGTGGATATAAGCCTAACCAAGTCTTCAATCGAAGCACAGGTTTTTGCTTTAGATGGCTTGTGAGAATGGCTTTCTCTGGAACCAAAGGAAATGGATAGAACCAACTAAATAATACTGTTTTCCTACCAGTGGTTAATAAGTAGCAAGCCTTGAAAGTAAAGATCAGGGAATGAAAATCCTCACGTGGAAAAGAAGGCTTTGTTGTCCTCTGTATTTGTGTGCTTGTGGATGGTAACATGAGCTTTTCTATTCATCTGGGCTTTACAGATGGGTGAGATTATGTTGACATTAGGTTATTTATGGGTGGAAATCAGATATCCTTGGTTTTTGAACTTTATTCTATTTCATCTTGCTCTAATTGCTATTCTTAGAAATAGTGAGTATGTTTACAATGTATTTTTTTGAATTTTTGTATTTTATGTATAGGAGCAGAAATGTATTAGAAATTATCTGAAGCCATTTTTTTTCTCCTTTCTTGGCTTCATCAAAGCCAAGACTGCTAGTGTTTGTGATCAGTGCCTGTCATGTGTTAGTTGTAAAAGGGCAGTGTTGGTCAAGCTAGGAGAGGTTTCAGAGATGTCATTTAAGAGAAGTAGGTTCTTAGATCTAAATGTAATGACAAAAGCAATACAGCCACTGTCTATTATCAGTTCTTCTTCACTGGATTCTAGAAATACTTTCAATGTTTTTTTTTTCTTTCTTTCTTTTTGAAAGAGAGAGCAAGAGAGAGAGTGTGTTAGCGAGAGGGGCAGGAGCAGAGGGAGAAGGAGAGAGAGAATTTTAAGTGGGCTCCACACCCAGTATGGAGCCCAACACAGGGCTTGATCTCATGACCCTGAGATCATGATCTGAGCCTAAATCAGGAGTCTGATGCTTAGCCGACTGAGCACCTAGGTGTCTGCCTTTGATATTCTTTAAAACAGTATGACCTTATATAGATAGGCCGTCTGCCTAGCACAAGAGTCAGTCGTCCGAGAGCCTGGTTTGCAGTTCTGAATCCACCACCTTGTAGCTGTGTGACTGGCAAGTTACTTCAATGACCTGTACTCAGATGCTTCTTCTAGAGGTGGTAACTACTTAATAACTTATGAGATTTATAAAAGTTGTCACTTATCAAACCCTGCACACCATTTCTGACACACAGTAACCACTCAATAAATCTTAACTGTGAAAATATCTTCAAATAATATTTAATCTGTCATCTGATAAAAGCTTCCCAAAGTGTTTGTTTGAAACAATCACAGAATACTCCACTTAAGTACTTGTTTACTTCTCAGAATACTAACTATATTGAAGTCAGAGTTTGTACAGCGTAAGTCATTTTAAAATCAAATGGCACTGCTGTGCCTGATTAAATGAAATGATGACAGTAGAGTTTGCTTGAAGAAAATAAAGCTATTTCTCCCATTACCTAATTATTTAAAAATTATTATTACCTACTCAATAGAAGAGAGATGACAGAGAGAAAGGGTATCTAAACAGGTATAAAAGCCTAGAGTCCTGGCACTGACCTTTGGTTCGGAACCACTTGACAGCTAATGTAAAATTGCAATCCAGCCTAAATATGCCTCATTCAGAATACAATGTACAATGTATACTTTTCTTTTTCAGTAACAATTAAGGTGATATCATATTATCAGGGCTTTTATTTTACTAGCATCAGGCATTTCTATTTTTTTTCCTAATCTTGTAATATTATTTAAAGATTCTTTGGTGAAATTTCTTATTTTCCATTAATTATTCTTTATGAGAAAAATCATTGTCATGTAAGATTCTTAATTTCTCTAAGGCATATTTGAAACTTTCACAGTTTTTTTTTTTTTTTAAGATTTTATTTATTTATTTGACAGACGGAGATCACAAGTAGGCAGAGAGGCAGACAGAGAGAGAGGGAAACAGGCTCCCTGCTGAGCAGAGAGCCCGATGTGGGGCTCCATCCCAGGACCCTGGGATCATGACCTGAGCCGAAGGCAAAGGCTTAAACCCACTGAGCCACCCACGCGCCCCCAACTCTGAGTTTTTTTTTTTTTTAATTTAAAGATTTTATTTATTTATTTGACAGAGATCATAAGTAGGCAGAGAGGCAGGCAGAGAGAGTGGAGGAAGCAGGCTCCCTGCTGAGCAGAGAGCCCGATGCGGGGCTTGATCCCAGGACCCTGAGATCATAACCTGAGCTGAAGGTAGAGGTTTAACCTACTGAGCCACCCAGGCACCCCAGGTTTTTCTTTTGATCGTATTTATTTACTTCAAAATTGGCATCTATTTTTTATACACCCTGTGCTATGCATAGAGGAGAACAGAAGTTGACTAATTCAAAGTCAAGGAGTTTTACAAACTAATCACAAAGAAATATACTGTATAGAAATACTATTTTCCTGAGTTTTTGTTTTGTATTTATTCATTTTTCACTTATTCCATAATGTACATACCATTACACGAAGTAATAAGCAAAAATATTAGAGATTTCTAACCAGCTCTTTAGGAAAATATAACATGTTCCTTCATATTATGATTCATTGAGGTGACAAGTTGTGGGAAGTGAAATACTTAAGTAATATAAGACCTATTGTAATTAAATGTTAAGTGAACAACATGAATGAAAATTTTTATCACAGGTTGAGTTCTTTTTATACATTTACTCAGGAATATTCTGTAAATAACAAATCTACCATTCAGTTGACAGTTGGAGTCTTGATTTTTTTTTGTTTTGTTTTTTTTTTAAGTGTATTACTTCATTGTCATGGGACCTGGGGAGGTTTATGTGTCATTTTGAATACTTATCCTTATCTAGAACAGATAGGAAAATGTATAACTAGGGCAGATAGTAATTACAACTAAATATTGTATTTTTTGCCCTCACTTTTTAAAATTTGATATAATATCCATAGTTTTTTTTTTAATTGAGACAACATTAAATAAATAATCTTCTATTGTGTTTTGTATGGGTAGACATGGAAAAAAGCCTTGTTTTCAGCATGTAGTTGTTTTTATGTATAAATTATTCTGCAGTACTTAACAGGTCAAACAACAAGAATTTTTTTTATATATTTGTAAAATGAAATTCTTAAGTGTAGAATTGTTTTATTTTCATTTTTATATTTATTTGACGGCATAAGCAGGGGGAGAGGGAGGCAGAAAGAGAAGCAGGCTCTCTGCTGAGCAAGGAGCTGGATGTGGGGCTCGATCCCAGGACCCCGGAATTATGACCCAAGCCAAAGGCAGATGCTTAACTGATTAAGCACCCACGTGCCCCATTATAGGTTTGCAGAAGTGTAGAATTATTTGGTAGGAGATTCCATCTTATAAAATGAAAGTGGCATTCAACAAGTTTATCTCTTCCAGTTACTTGGGGTGTCTCAGCTAGAAGACTCCTTAAGTAGAGTGAAACACAACATATTGAATTATGTTTTGTGTTGACTTTAAGAAATTCAAAAAATTTAGAGAGGTAATCCCATAGAAGAATTTTATCACAACGTATATTAGTTGAGAATGTTGGCATTCACTTTTATTAATTTCCCACTGTCATTTATAAGATCTATGCATGGTAAAAAATAATCTCCCTTAATAATTTACATGTCAACATAAATACTTACTTACAACATAAATACTGACTTCACTGAATGCATACAAATATTAGAGTAGGTATTTAAGTATTTTTATTTCACTAGAATTATCAAGACCCCACAGATCTTGATTGCCTAAGTGGCCAAAATTTCATGCCGTCACTCCAAATAGTCTCTGTAATGGGCTAAGTACAATAACGATATTACTATATTTATATAACTGTAACTATGTTATTCTGTATTATGATTCTTTTCTATACACTTTCACCAACTCACTGTTATAATCCTTTCAAATCATAAAATTCTCAGCATTGAATTTCAAAGGGCATGTTTTATGAAAAATCTCTGTAAGTTTGATCCAGATTACTGTTTAAGGTTTCATTAGATTTTTGGAACTCAGTGAATGAGTTAAGCAGCCTTTAAATTAATCCTTTAACAAATACATCTAATTGTTACTGACTCAGTTGTGCAGTTTTGACTCTCAAATTACTTAATGAGTTTTCTAAAGAACATCTGTTGATGGTTCTAGGAAAAAAAAAAATGTGTTTCTTCAAGATGTCCTGATCTTAAAGACCACATGTAACAGATAAGATCATAAAAGCAAAACTTTATGAACAAGGGGGGATTGGGCCATACTGAAGTGTAGTCTGTGTTATGTGGTGTGATTTCTCCTTTTGTGTTCTGAGCTTATATTGTTAGAGACTGTTACACCATGCTGCATATGTTTGCATGTATTTTTTTAATAAAACTCAAAGGATTATTTAGGGGAGCAATTGTAAGACACTTGCAACCCATAATTCCTACTGTATCTCAAATTGTGCCACTCTGCCACAACAGATCAGGTAGCCTAGATATTTGAATTCAGTAAATTCAGCATCTTGAAAATTACCTGTTTATTTACTTTTTAAATATCATGTGATTAACTGTGTTTGAAGAAATAGGTGCGTGACATTTTGTAATATTTTGCTAAGGATGTTGTCCATGAGGCTGCTAACTATCCAGAGTAAATTACCTTATTTCAGAAACTTTTTTTAGAATGTCCTACAAGAAAAAAAAGTGCTTCTCCTCTGGAAAGAGAACACTTTTGTTTTCTCTTTACTAGGATAAT